TCTTTGCTCACGTTCGGCAGCTCGTGGCCGACAGACACCCCCGACAGGCTTTCCACCCGCCCCAGCCCCGGTTCGTGCACCAAGTGCCGCCCCGAGCCCTGCTCAGCGATCGGGTGCCACCCGATCTGCAGCGGGGGCCCGTCGCGCCTCCGGGGCCCCCGGATCGACCCCATTTCGTCCGCCAGCAGCTTCTCCGGCGTCGTCGCGGGCGCTGCAGACTCGTCCCCGTGGTCGGGCAACACCTGGTGCGAGCTGCTGCGGAAGAGCGGGCCCCCGGCTTTGGTCCACGAGATCTGCGTCATCTCGTTCTCCGCCTCGCTGTCGCTGCTATGCCCTTCCCCCGGCTTGCGCTTCGGCCGCCGGAGGGCGCCCCACGCGGACAGCCCCGCGCGCGTCATCTCCGCGATGTCGTCCTCGGTCAGCGACTCGGAGGAGAAGTCCCGGGGGAGCGTGTTCCAGGACGGGATGCGCCCGCGGCCGAGGCCGAGGCCGGTTCCGCGGAGGCCGCTGCCGTCCGTGGACGCCTCAGCCTGGCGCCAAAACTGGGCTTCTTCGCGCGCGCGCTTTCTGCAGACGGAGCCGAAAGGCAGGATTGAGCAACGGACGCGAAATGTGCGTGCTTGCTTCTCGGATGCCGGTTGTTGCCGGGTTTAGCGAAGTCTGCGTTTCCTCGGTCGTGCTTGTCGGGGATGGACAAACAAGCAAGCGAATCTTGGAAGAATCTCCCTACGAAGACCTTTTCAGAGAGCTTCGGTTGAGCTCTAAAAACACCCTCTATTTTTCGAGCGACCGAGACAATCAAGCGCCATATAGTACAAGAACTTCGAAGGTCGCTGAATCGCACCTGGCCTCGTGCTTTCTCCAGGCCAGGTCGGCGACCACCTTGTCCAGCTCTAGCTCGATGGCGCTGTTGGCAGTGATCGCGGAAAGCTTGGCCCACGTGGCACGCACGCCCTGGGACATGCCACGCTTCAGCTCCGTGGAGGTGGGGTTGCGGATGAGGCCGATGTACTGCAAGAGGGGGACAGCTTTTCAGGAAACCGGGACAAGGCAAAAACTCCAGCTCGCGGCTAAAACGGTGATGACGTTTTCGGGTTGATGATCAAGAAGATAGCTGCAATTAGCCAACGGTGTCGATCGAAAGAAATCTAAAGCGAGACAGAAACTCTGCCAGCCCTCAGCTCAAGCATGAAAAATAATTTGTAAGACGAGAATGATCAGCCTATCCGTTGAACATTACGAGCTCGTCTTCGAAAGTACACCAAGAACTGGCTACGAAGGAAACAGAAGAAGAGCCACGAAACGTCTTTCAACGACGCACAGAGCAGCAGGACTCCTGAGCAACGAAGGCGCCTCACCTGAGCCAGGGACGCATTCATGACTATGGTGACGTCCCCCTCCCAGTCCTGTGCGAAGAGCTTGGCCAAACCGTAGAAGCCGAAGCCCATCTCCAGTGCCTGGTTACACCGGTGCTTGATCTCCATCTCGAGCAGATGCATGCCCTGCAAGCATTCAGTTGAAAGTGCGTCACTTTTGGAAAGGGACGCAACAAACCGAAATAGCTGTAGATTCGCGCAGGTCCCTTTGTCACAATATCCTTGTCCAACCATCGAAATAAGACCAACTTGTCGAAAGAAGTCGTAGAGGCTGCCAGGAAGGAACTTGGAACCTTACCTTTGACGCCAACTGCCCCCCGTACTGCCGCACTGTCTCTTTCAATCTCAAGAGGGGCGCGATGTGCGGGTTGGCCTGGCTGACGATGAAGTGGTTGACGTTGAACAGCTCCTTCAGAGGCCCGATTGGAAGGTCTGTTTCGAGGCTGCCGTCTCGCCAGTGCCGAGCGCCGATGCCGCCGTTCTTGTCAGGGCCGAGCTCGGTGGGAGGGTGGTAAGGGACGAGACGACCAAAGCGGTCCTTGGCCATCAGCTCCTGCACAGACTCGCCTCATTGCGATCAGCTCGAAACTCGACATTTGCAAATCGAAGAAACTCGACTACGAGCTTAAATTTACAGAAACTCGTTATAAATTTCAGGCAATCCGGTTACGAGCCTTAATATGAAGCAAGTCGACTACGAGCTTCATACGCTGGCTTGGACTCGTTAGCTGTGACAGAAAGAACACGACCAGGCGGAAAACAGGGTAAGCTTGGATCCTGGTACGGAACATTGAAACTTGTCAATATAATCCAACCCCTACACTCAAAGAAAACGAAAGAGGGAGCAGCCCTACCTGCGGCGAGAAGAGGCCTGGGAAGGCACACGAGGCGGTCACTGCGCTCCAGATGACGACGTTGGGAGACGAGAGGTAGTTCAGCAGCCGGGGAGGCTCCTTCGGGCGAGACGAGCACACGGTGATGCACAGCACCCGGCCTGAGATGTCATACGCCTCCTGGAAGGTCATGTCACCGATCAGCTCCCGCATCTTGCGCTGCAGGGGTCCGATCTCCTGCATCGCCCCCCGCGTGAGCAGCCGGTGCGCCGTCATGATCACGTTCCCCATCTCGTCAAAGAAGTGCATCTTCGGCAGCGGGCCCTGGAAGAATGCCTGCAGCTGGACCCAGGGCCGGGTCGCAGTGAAGGAGCAGATGATGGACCCGACGCTCGAGCCGGCTACCACGCGAGGGAGTAGCCCGTGCTCGATCAGGGTCTTGACCACCCCCAGATGGAACGCCCCGAGGGCGGCCCCCCCGCTGAGAAGAAGAGCGGTCCGGCCAAAAGCGTGCCGAACCTCGTGGAAGAAGGAGAGCTTGTCGTCCAGGCCAAAGTCTGCCTGCTCTGGGGCGTCCTTGATGATGCGCAGGTGCTCGCACACCTCCCCCAGGTACTCTGAGATGAGGGGGGGTGTGTGCAGGCGGTTCTTGTGCAGCTCGGGGTTGCACATGTTCCCCAGGTTGCGGATCAGGTCGGTGCGCAGGGCAAACATCATGTCCTCGACGCAGCCCTCCTGGCGGCGCTTGCGGAGCTCGTGGAAGCGGGCTTGGACTAGCTCAACGTCGTACCTGAGAATTTAGAAGGAGGTTCAGTACTGGTGGACACCAGCTGGTGCAAGGTCTCAACCAGGAAATGAATTTTTTTGACAGAGTAGGGAGTCAAGCAATCAAGTCAACTGAGAAGGCAGCCACAGTCCTGGTCTTAAGCAACACCAGAAAGCACCTCGTGCATCCTATGACAAACGAGTTTGAAAACGAGTTTCTTACCAACTGGCTACAGTTTTGAGAAACATTTGGCTGACTCCGGGGGACATGTGATCAAGCCACCACTGTCAGCTGGTCTGCCAGGATTTCTTACAAACTAGGCTTGCTTGCTAGTAATCCAATGTTATTTGACTGATGCTGGCATTATGCACTTGATACTGACGTTCACGAGAGCTGGCACATCTCTTTTTGACAGGAACTTTCCCTGAAACCTTGGGTCCGGATACGGCAGCTGAAGGAGCTTCCTTCTGCTGAAAGTACTCTCAAACCTGATTGCCAACACCATGAGATGATGCTGACTGAAAAACAACCAATTTGACCTGGACTCCTCTCCTGAACTAAGCTGATGTGACAAGGACGGAACACACGACTCCGAGTTCTTCCTACAGGATCTTACGACAGCCTCAGCTGGACAGATTACTTGAACATGCTGAGCACAATCACGAGCTTAACAGACGGGAAGCCAAGGTGCAAATCTTCCGAACGAACAGGGACTTACAAGTCTGCGTCTCTCCGCCGTCCAATGTACTGCTCCAGCTGCTTGGCAGCATGGGCCCACTCTTCGTACGTTGCAGCTGAGGCAATCATGTTCTTGTAGAATGTCCTCTTCACTTCCAAGACCTTGGCGTTAATACTGTGAAGACGGTGCCGCCTCAAGAGATAGCCGACTAGGATCATGCCCCCAAGCAGCACATTTGGATTCCTTGGATTCAGCCAGTCCTTCAGCACTTTCCACAGAATGGACAGCGCCTTCAATCCCTTCCGCAGCCCGTACCGAATCCTGAACTTGAGGACTAAGAGCACCTTTTTGCAGACCGTACGAGCAGCCTCCCAGGAAAGAGCTTGCACAGCAACCGCCCGGCCATACAGGGTGTCCGGCCCGATGCGGAAGAGATCAACGATGACCTCCTCATCAGAATCCATCTCCAGGGGACCCTGAGCAGCGTACCACGAAGGCAGAGGGAGGGATCAACACAGCATTGCGACCCCGGAGTGCAGATTCCTCCCTATGCTGCCCTGATCAAAGTGCAACTTAGTGTGGCACTCAAAACCAGAGGCCGGTAAACCACTCAAGGTGACAGGATTGTTGCTTTCTTGTCTTTTGTCTCACAAACCTCAAACTTCCGCTGTCATTCAATGTGCTTCTCCCCCACCGTCTGAGCCCTCCGAAATTACCATCTTCTGTCTTCATGACCAACGTCTGCCCTAGCCATGGACGTGTCCTGTCTCTTCGGATGCTTCGAAACCATGGATGATGGAGGCCACTGCTCTTCCGTTGGTTTCTAGGCAGCCTGAGCAAGCTGCACCCCGCTGTCGCTTGCGCGCCTCTCGTGAATCCCTGGCCGGGGTGAGTCAGCAAGTCACTTTATCCGCTTTTGCAGAGTCCGATCAGCTGCCACCTCAGCATAGGGGCGGCCAGGACACGTGGCATCTGACAAAAGGCTCATATGGACTATATAAGCTATAGAACCTGCGTATACCTATGCGTACATAAGCTGACAGTGCCGAACAAAAGCATATGGCCAAGAAATGGATCAGAAGGAATGGTCTCGACGAGGAATTTAGTTGGACCAGCCTCCCGGGATCACCCCTCGGGGCCAAAGGTTCAGCCGCAAGAGGCTGGCCTTTTAGTTGCTGGTGTCGGTGATCAGACCCCGGGACCCTGCCCCGGCGGATCTCCTCTTCATGATCCAGTTTTCAGTATGTCAAAGAGGAAGCTCACCGCATGACTCAGCCAAAGAAGCCAATAGTATCGCTCCCTCCACGAGCCGAAGTTCCAGTTGACTTGAGACCTTCAACTGTACATTTGAATTAGGTAGATCACAGCAGGAGGGGAGCGAGAGGCCCGTGTGACGTCAACTCTGCGCCATGTATCTGGGCTTCCCCTAAAATCGTTGTTGCTTATGGCCGTGGTGATCCTAGGAGCGGACTGCCACAACCAGCTGTAGACCGGTAGGAACCTGCAATCAGATTTGGGTAGGCGGGTTTAAGGAGCCGGCGTTGCTGGACGCTTTTGTTGGGTCTCAGAGCATCCATCAGGCGGGATACAGCTTAGGGCCGAACCGGAGCAATGGGATCCAGGGATGGACAGCGGCCAGTCGGCAGGTCCCCTTCAGTCGATGATCTGTTCGCTCCCATGCTGCAGATGCAGATGCAGGGAGATGAGGAGGACAGGAAACCAGGGCTGCATCTGCCTGATTATCCTCTGCCAGGTTCAGGAGGACCACGGCCATCAGGTAAAGGTCGGCCAAAGTGTTTGAATGTCGTGTCTGCAGGCTCAGAACCTGCGTTCTGAACAAACTTCAAAGCCTTATTTTTGTCTCCAGTGCAGAGGAGAAGCTTGCGGCGCTGACTCTGATGTGTCCTACTGTATGGTTGTTCTGTATGTATGAGCTTCAAGGTTGACTTGTTGATCGAGGATGGATGCATTCTGCTCCTGCTGTTCCCTTCCAAGGTCTATTTCTGACCCATGAGCTGGCTGGCATGGATGAGACACAGAGACTGGTTCTTGTTGTGCTTAGCTTGCAAGTGAGCTGTGTTGGACTTCTTTCCAATGCGTAAAAGGGGAGGCCAGTGGTAATATGAGTCGGTTTGTTTGCTCTTGTTATATGCATGAGATTTCCTGCTGTGTTTCCTTCATCTGCTTCTTTCATCCTTCCCAGTCTGCTCTGAGGCTAGCATGTTTGATGGTACCCCAAGATGATTCACGCTTTTACTTAGTCTTTGTTCGCCAATCTTCCTGTAGCTGTTATTATCTTGGACATTTTTGCTGGCAGCAAGTGCACCTACCCTACACATTGAGTTGTTCGAGACTCAGAATCGTCGCTTGAACGACTGGAGCACGAGGCACTGTGCTTCAGCTTAGATCCTGCACCCTTTCGTAGTTTAAAAGTGCGCCAATGTGCAAAGCACGCACTCCTTTGGGCTACGAAAACACTTATACACCGAGTTTGGCTGCTAGCTGCCAATCGTAAAGCAGACACTGTAGTGCTTGGGCACTCATCATGGCAATCAGTTGCAAAAGAAGCTGCCCAGAGGCCCGATGATTTCTTCCTACTGCGAGCAGTTTCGTTTGTGCTTGAAATTCTTCACTTAGTGGTGACCTTCTCATCAGTGCCCGCTTTGCAGTGGAAGGCGGACAGTGATTGGCCACGCGCCAACTTGTGCCTTTTGCACTCTAGCAAGCCACGCTACTTCGTTTTCTTGCACAATAGCAAAAGTGCCTGACGCATAAGCATATTCGCATTCAAAAGGTCAGTCAACCTATGAGGCAATCAAAATCTTGCATGCCGGTCTCAACCCCTGTCTCTTCTCCCAGGTGGCAACTACAGCAGCATCCCGCCCAACACCTCTCCCCGCCCCTCTGCGGCCGACAATGCCAGTTCCCTGATGCCCCCCCCCAGCACCAGCCGCTACACTTCAGCCGCTGGGCCCCCTCCCCCCCAGGACAGCGGCCAGTTCCGGGACGCAAAGTCTCCTCAAGCCGGTGAGATCACGGCTGCTGGGGAGCACCCGCGCAAAGTGGCGGAGGGCCTGCACGACGGCCGGTTGTCCAACCCGACATCGGATGATGACGGAGGGTTGGGCCAGGAGGGATCCGATGAGCGGAAGCAGAAGAGGATGCTGTCCAACAGGGAGTCGGCGCGCAGGTCCAGGATGAGGAAGCAGCAGCATCTCGATGAGCTCAAGGCACAGGTGGGGCGCATTGCCTCCTTGTGGACGGGGACACAGCAGGATGAGTGTGTTTTAATGGTGGATCTCAAGGCAGCAGCCATGGAGTAGAAGGTGGATGAGTCCAAGAGCAGGGTTGCAGCCTGGTTTGTCTGCATTGACGCTTTATAGGGCGTCTACTTGAGGGCTTTCATTGAGGCGGAGGCCTGACACTGCATCAAGCTGTCCATCAAGGGGCTGCGTGGCAATTGGCTGCCAGTAATTGTGCTCAGTATGACGTTGCAAAATTCAACGTGCTTACCTCTTTTGGCCAGTACAGAGTTGCATGCTGCTCTGAATCTCTGTGCCTCTACACGAATCCAGGGCTCGGACTGCCCAGCGATCCGCATCTCTTGCTTCAGCATTTTGGATGCACTTCCGAAGTATCTCCACTTGCATCGTCCAGGTGGCGCAATTGCGCGCAGAGAACCACCACATGGCCCAGAAGTACAGCATCGCCGCTCGGCACTACGCGCAGCTGAACGAGGAGAACCGCATGCTGCGGCACCACGCCGTTGACCTCAGCAGGACGCTCCACAGACTCGAGGCCGTCGCACGCCCAGGAATTGGCGGAATGGGAGGCGGGGGCTACCCTCATCCGAGATGAAAAGGCTTGGGGAGGGGGTGTGGGGTGGGTTTTGGAATGTGAATTTTGAGGTTAGCCGAGCTTCTCTGGGGGTGTGTACAGCAGAAGCCTTTGTACGTTGGGAGGTAGCGGCGGAGGAATAAGTGCGCGACGGAGGAGCCATCTCTGAGTGTCTCTGTGTTTCTCACCAACAGAATAAAGCAGCCGAAAGAAACGCGGCTGTGGTGTGATGGGGAGCAGGGAATCTTTGTTCGTAAGCCAGGTTGGTCCAGGTCATACTGGACTGATGGGAAGCCACTGGCAGCTTCTTCAGAGAGTGTTAGAAATGCATACCACGAGCAGCAAGGCCGGTGTAGATGCTTGTATCCAAGGCTGGGCCATCCTGCAAGTGAGTCTGGGAGGTTTTCGAGAAGAGATGCTTTGCGTAGGGGCAAGCAGCAGTAACGTAATGGTTTTTGCTTATACACAACGACTAGTATGCACGTAATGACTCGAGGACGTACTTAGATTAGAGAGGAAGCGAACCGCTTGTTGGCAAGTCCGCTGATCCAAGCAGCAGCAATCGATGGTGCACCAGCTTTTCCAGCTTCTTCCGTAGCTTGTACAGCCTTGAAGATGGAACCGTCTTGAGAGCAGCGAGTGCCAACTTGCTGGGTGAGAAGCCGCAACCAAGCAGTCTTATACTAGTCAAATGTACGTTTCAAATACTCCTTTCAAAATCTTGACATGTGTTAATAGAACATCGGCCTTATCCAAGAAGCTGCAATCTTCGACTTCCTGATGTGAATCTCGGTGCTGCTTCGCTTCTAACATTGCTTGATTGCTGTGCGTGTCAAATGAGGCCACCAGCTTCCCAATTGTATCATTCTGATTCATCTCACTGAATCAAGCATGCATGTGTAACATAGGTAGAGGTGAAGCTGCATCAATTCGGTGACAATGATGGCTCGTCTATCCATATCAAAGAACATGCACGCGGCACTCGCGCAAGCTCAGTCCATGCATTTGGAGTTCATTTGCATCTTGATTCGTTTAGGTTTACTTCGAAGTCACTGCATGCATCATTACTTCTGTTGAAGTAGGACCGTCCGACGTGCGGCCTCCTTCGAAATCTCCCGCGTTTAATTGCCGACTAGCTAGGACCGTCTGTTTATAAGCATCACATGCCGCAGACTACGTACAACCGACTAGGGGCCGCCGCCCGTGCCCGAAGCCCATGTATATAAGTGCATGAGTCACTGACTCGCACAAAGTACTACGTACAGGCCGGCCTTGACACGGTTGCTCTGAGTCGATATATCTTTAATGGGCAGACATGCCAGTGACTGGCTAGGGATTGCGAAGTTCGGCTATACCTGTGTCACTTCGTTGTACAATTCAAGCAGAGTAGCTCAATTCTTTATCAGGCAACATGTAGCGCACTTCTCAGCACATGGCGAACTTAAACCAATCCTACTATCCTGTTCCATGAACTTGCACCGGATCAAGGGCGCCGCCCTGCTGGCCCTGGGTCAGATCAACATGTGTTGCGAGCATCTCAGAAGTCGTGCAATAACACTTTCTTATAATCTCAGTGTACACATGTTCCCGAGAAAGTGACTCATGGTCCATGCTTCAAAGGACATAGCCTCCGAGATTTTGAGTGACCAGAGTGGATTGGCTGCACCTGCGGTTCGCACGGGTGCCCGTGCACTTTGGACGACGCAAATTCCGCCACTGCCTGGCAAGTCTGAGGCGGCTGAAGATTGTGCAACCAGCAAGTAGCACAACTGTTTTTGTAAAAGCAATGAATCTTTTCTTGCTACAGCCCTGTCAGCTTTTGCCGCGGGTCCTTCAGCAAACTGTTCATCTGCATAGTCCTATTCCGAAGAGCCGCAACGCTCCCCTCGCGCCTCCCTGCGAGCAGCGTATTCAGCTCAGCCTCGGCCTTCAGATTCGGGAAGACCAACCTAGCTTGCCCCGCCGAAGCTTCAGTCCCCTCTCCTCCCCCCCTCCCACTTCCCCCCTCTGCACTCCCCCCCTCTTCAGAATTCAACGTTGCCGGAAACCGCGCAGGTGGGAGGAAGAACTCCCGGCGGATCTCCTCAGCTGTGGGCAGCAACCGTTCCGTTCCGTTCCCCGGCTCCGCCTCCTCCTTCGGATCGCTCATCGCGTCCCGCGCGTCGGGCCCCGTCATCAGCGGCGGCACCGCCGCGACCGCCCGTAAACCCCAAACCCTGGAACCCTTCCTTTCGCCGCTCAGGCTCGTCGGCCCAGGTAACAGCGCGACCGCGCTCGCGGAGCCTACTTCTTGTGACGTCAGCGAGTCGTGGTACGGCTGTTCTACCGGTCGGATGAGGTGGTCGAGATCCCGTCCCCAGGAGGGGAGCATAGGCGCGAGCGCGGGCGGGTCGAGCATGGCGGTCGCGGGGATGGAGGCGGGGTTTAAGGGTTTAAGGACGTCCGGAAGAGGGTGGTCCGCAACTGAGGGCGGTAGGATGTACGCAGGACCTGCAGAAGGGGAGGTGGAGAGACCCGTTGGATTGGTGCCACTTGGAGCAAGTAAATCATCTCATCCAATCTGGCAAGGGCAAGAGTCAACAAGCTTTTTCAACATGGTAGTTCTGTTGCCGAGCAGATACGAGCAGCGTTCAAGTAACTCTTGTCCGCCCTTTCAGAAGTGGCCTCTGGCGGCTCGAAAAAACCTCCGGCGGAATCCAACGAATCCATCAACAGCGAGACTGCCAAGTGTGGACATTTCACCACATAAAACTGAAGCAGGAAGCAAATGCGCACGAAGCACTCGTATGAGCACAAGTGGCCACCAAGCAGGGTGTGCGCAGCCGCGCTTGAAAGCTCGCACGTCTGAAAATTCCAGAAGAGGGGGGTTCGTACCAGGCAGGAAGTTCTCTTCCTCTGCCCCCCCGAGCAGAGGCTGGTGCTGCATGAGGGGCACGTGGCTGCTGATGGGTGGGAAAGGCTGCGGTTTGTACCCCATCAGATTGCAACGGAGGGGCTCCTGCATGCGCAAAGTCCGACGAACGTCAGCCAGCGTATAGGATACGAGCATGGGAAGGTCCAAAGTGCGCGCGTCATGCTTGGATGGTCAAACTCATCCAAATTGACGAACGGTGTGGCGAAGACAAGGGACAGAAATTGTTGACGCTGTCGGAGGGGCCGCACTTGAGAGCAGCTGAACTCATGGCAGACTCTCCTTACCTGCCGCCTTCTACTCTTCGGAGTGGTCTGATACTAGCAGACTTCCTCTGTCAGATGAGCAGAACCCAGCATCGATCGCTCCTGCTTATATGAATACGAGCAGGAACCATCCGCGGCAATCATCCCACCGGAACAAAACCTGATGGCGGTGGAGATTGAATCCTTTTCCTCTGCAACGGCCAGAGTTAGCCAAACAAGAACAAGCAAACGTCACATAAAAACGGGTCGCGGAAATACGTATTTGCTCCTTCGGTCATTCACCTTCAGCGGCAGCGGCTCGAGCGCGTCGAACTCTGCCACCTCAGGAACTTCCACCGGGGCATACTCCCGGGCACTCCCTTCCTCCCGCCGGTCTGGAAAGCGGCCGTCCTGAATCACCCATCGACCAGTATCCAGAATCGCCGAGACGCTTTCGTTGAAACCGCCAACGTTTAGAGCTGGGTTGGTGCTCCGGCTTCCGTCGACTAGGGCAGCGACGCCGGAACTCGTTCCCCCGGCTTCCCGTATGCACGACTGGAGGGCGCTCAAGCGGCGCTGCGCGCGGTTCCGGTAGATGACCTGGAGTTTAAGGAGACGGGTTAAAGTTGGCTTATGGTTAAGGGCACGAATTCTATTTTCAATGGCCTTTTTAGAACAGTCTTTCGTTCAGTCCTTCAGCCGGAAACCAGGACAGACGAAAGTGGACCGTATTTTGGCTGAAAAAGAGGTCGAGGATGATGGGTTTACAGCTCTTCCACCCGGTCCATTCTTCAGAGCATATTCTACGTTGGGATCCGTAAGTGAGAAAGAAAAGGAGGCCAAGGGCTTGAGAAGATCGGGACGGTGCGCGCAGGAAGTTCAATACAGAGACTGAGGTCAGGCTCAGGGAAGCCCTGCACAACGTCGGGGAGAAAGCCTAACGCGGATCAGAAATGGACTGTGTCAAAGCATGAACGGCGTCAAAGTGACAGTTCGCAAGGCCGATCTGGACGGCTATCCTGGAGCTGGCCCCGTTCAAGTGAACCTGCTTCCGCGCGCAGATTGGTCCACGTGTCGGAGGAGAAAAAAGCTCGAGCCGAGCAGACGAAACACGGCGGAAGGGAAGCCTATGCGAATCATGCTTCATGCGAAGTTGGAACCGGATCTCCGGTCCACCCCTTCGGACTTGAGCGATCGGATGGCAGAGAATATCAAAATTGAAGAGGGCTACTAACAATAGTATTCTCTGTTGGTGTGGGAAGCTCAGAAGATTTGGCCATGAGATAGGTGTAGTCAACGTCAGACTCACCGTGCGGACCGTGTGAATAAACTTCTCCAGCGCCTGCGCCCGCTTGTGCCACGTGTCGCTCTTGTAAACATTCCAGTCGGGCACGTGCCCGCGCAAGAGGTCCTCCCCGAGGACACGCGTCGCCCTCTGGCCGTCCCGGTTCACCGCGACGGCGCGCCGCTCCCGCGCCTCCGCGGCCGTGAGCTCGTCTTGCGCGGCCGCTGCCGCCAGCCGGGCTCGCTTCACCGCTGAGAGCAAGCAACGTCAAGGGTAAACTACCGAATCTCGGAATTATCCAATTCCGGACGGGCGCACCCTGGACCGAATTTCGGGCATACTGATCACAGTCTAGAAACTACTTCTTTAGAGGTTCTGCTGACGTCAGTACCATTACGGCAAGCCCGAAACAAAACGTGATGTTCCGGCCGTCATGCAAAACCGACTGAAACAGATCGTCCGATATTCGATCGAGGCTTCCCCGTCCGAAAGTGGATGTTCCGAAATTGGTAGTTCTCCCTTATTTGTTAGAGATTCGGAGATGGGGTCATGAGCCGAACTTAGTCCAAAAAGGGAGCAGGAAGCATGTTTCAAAAGATGTCACGTTCCTTCACTTGCCCACCCACGATGTTCGCTGCCGTTTCCCCACGGAGACTTGTTTTACCACACCAAACCTCCTCTTCATCAAATCACATTTCGCTGCTGCTGCAGTCGACCACCTCTTGCCTGGACTCGTAGTAAAGATCACACAACTTTCAAACTCTTTCTTACAGCCCCATTGCATTTCCCCTGCAGTCCCTCACCCTCAACCCGCGCTCAGCAGGTCTTCACAGCCCACTCGTTTACATAGCCACATCTTCCTTTTCCCTGCAGTTCCTCACTTCCAATCTGGGCTTCCGTCAGCAGATCTTCACATCCTACTCTTTCCATAACCATCTTTTTCCTTAAGCCTGCGGTCCCTCACCTTCGATCTGGGCTTCCGTGAGCAGGTCTTCCCCGAGCGCGACGCAGAAGCGCAGCTCCTTTTCCCGGTCCGCCCGCAGCTTCTCCTTGAGCTCCGCCTCGAACACCGCGCGCTTCACCTGTGCGCTCGCTGCCGCGTCGTCCAGCACGCCCAGCCCCGCGCGGCCCGACGCCTGCGGGGGTCCCGAGAATTGAGCGGTTTACGTCTAGTCTTGTCTGCTTCTTTTTCTCGTTTCTCGAGAATCGTAACTCGTGAAAGAATTGTTGAAATGGGAGTCAAAGCTCTCTAGGCTCTTGCAAAACCAAAACCTTTTGAAAACTCAAGAAAATGGAGTGTAATCAAGATTTTGCAAAGCCGCTATCCCCTTCGATACGTTACCTTAGATCCTTCTCCTGGTGAAGGCGCCACGTAGCCGCACGAAAGACGGACCCTGCCGCACGCTGACAGAGAGAGACCGGTCGGAACGGGGCGCCGGAAAAGGAGCGGACGCCGGAATTCGGGCTAGGGGCGGACCGGATTTCTAAACAGGATTTTATAAGGACAGAGAGTTTGGCGCAAAATGAAAGCAAGCCAAACGAAAGAAGGGCGCCATAAAAAGAGAGATAGGATAGCGCCGCCGAATAGCAGAATAATCTTCCTGAAACTAGTTAGCAGGCTGAGGCCTCGTTCGTGACCACAAATCAGTCACACAAATGGGCGCACCTTGCCCGAGGCCGTGACGGCCTGCATGCGCGCGCGGTCCTGCCGCTGCCGCTCGATGGCCGCCTTGAGGTCCTTGATGCGGAGCTTGCCGGGCTGGGGAAGGGAGAAAACGTGGGAACGTCACGCTGACGTCACGAGACGTGCTGGTATGCGACGCACAACTTCCGTTCACCTGTTCGGTTTTTGAACTTCTCAACTTCCTTATGACCAAGTAGCGCTTGCGTAATACGTTGACCGAGATGCTGAGGCGAGGCGTTTCAAGCTTGAGGATTAGGTGAAGCTTAGAGACAGAGCGCTTTGATGACGTCAGCCCTGTCGGCATCGCTTACAATCGACTTTCTGTGGCTTCCAAGGTTGTCGATGAAGCAGAACGGACTCGGGCCCAAAACGAAGTCCACCCTCCTAACCGCCAGATTTATCCATTAGTCATGATCGTTTGGTTACCGCTTCTGCTTGGCCAAAGCGCATTTAGCGTGCTTCAGCGGACCGCATTCCCTTAGGCAGGATTCCTGCTTCCTAACAAGCGCACGGAACTTTGAACGCGGTGAAAAACCAACCTGCTGTTGAAGGACGTACGAGACCGCTGCGTGGGAGTTGAGATCGTACGGGAGCCGCAGGCCGTCGATCTCCTCCTCGACCTCGTCATCATCCGCCACGTGTCCCATTGCCTTGGGCGCTGCGCCGGTGCTCCGCTGCAATCGTGCGGTCTCGCGGTCAGCCTGCACACAAAGGGAGCCACTTATTTTTGGGAATGAGTTGAGGGGACATGTGAATCCGCATTAAGCAGGAATCTGTGTGTTCAATTTCGAAGCGAGGAAAGGAATTTTTCGCAAGGAATTTTTGCAAAAAATTCAATGCGTAGTGCCAACCAGAGCATATTTTTGCATCGGGTCTACCAATCCTATCAACTTGCCTCCTCGCAAATTGATGCCTTGGATTTTATGTTCAGCAAAAGGAACGCCAGTACCTAGTGCTTCGTGCCAAATTGCCGCAGATTGGACGACTCATCCTTGTTACTCCTACACAGCACTGCCAGCATGTGCGCGGCGACCAGGGACGCGGTCGGAAAGCCTCACCTTGGCCTTGGCCCGCGTGAAGGCGTCGCCTCCCCCGGCCCCTCCCCCCGACCACTTGGGCTTTAGGGCTTTCTTCAGTGTTTCCAGAGCTAGACTCGGGCTCTGCGCAGCCCCGGTTGGACTCCCCGGGCCGACGTCCCGCTCTAGTTCTTCGAGAAGCAACCTTGTCCTGAGAGCAGAAAGGTTGTACGACGTTGGTGTCTGTCATCAGCTAATGAAGTTCCTCTTTCACAGCCAGCCAACAACGACTTCTTTCAAATAGCTCCTTCTACGTTCTTAGCGTCAGCCAGCTCTATCAGCACGCGCAAACTTCGCCACCGCGTATGATATCAAACGCACTCGGTGGAGGAAGTAACGGTGCGGACTGTTTATCACGTAGGAAGAAGCACAGCTCTCAGGAAGCTGCTTAGGCGTTTGTCGAACGTACTGTCTTTGAACTTGTCTAGCGACCCCTGTCGATACTCATTGCAGCCTAGATAACGCAAGACATCTATACAGTGATCTCCAATGTGAAGGGAATCAAGCCTTAATCTACCTGCATTTGTTACTCACGAGCGCCCAATCCGTCGTAAGGAATTCGACCGCCGAAAAGAATATGTAGCAGCATCGTCCACCGGAAAAGGATTGTGCAAGCATTTCCTCTCCCTACCTAGTTTCTCCAGTCACGCCAGTCCCCACAATGGTTGCGACAAACGGCACGAAGTTAAACTGGGCGACCCGTACTTGGACGTCGATTGAGTACGTCATCGGGCGCGCCGGCGCGAAGCGGACCTGGATGCTGACGTGGCCGTTGGCAGGAACGAGACCTGGGGGCGGAAGCAAGACATCGAAGAGTTGGCCACTGGAGCTATTTAAAGGTAAGAGATAAACTTTGCAAGAAAGGTGTCATGCTGAAGGTAACGAACTGAGCAAAGTGATATTTTCGTCGACTTTGCTGTCAAAAGCGAAGAGTCACGAAGAAGCAGCTGCTGATCGGCTGTGGTTACGAGGCCGCGCAAACAAACGGACCCCAAGTGAAGTACTTCTCTGGTCCGTTTGAAGCGATATTGAGTCAATCTTGCAAAACATGGGCACAATCCGGATGAATGCAGGCGGCTAGAACGAGCACACCGGACAGAGACTCCCAAAATCTCGAAACAATAATTCTTGAAAACTTCTTTCCATTTATAAGATCTTTTATTAGTTTTATCTGATTGTGGATTATTATGAAAAAGAAAGAGACTGTTGGGTCACCTTTGGAGGGGCTGATGCTGAGCTCCGGCAGGGGGTTGGCCACTGTGAGCTCGAACTCGAACTGGATAGGCACTTCGCATTCCAGCCGAACTTCTCGTACCCGGCTGCACAAGCAGGACAAGCTAGTCAGCCAGTCTGTTTTACACGGGTTCGTTTCGTCGTCTTAAGCTTTTTTTGGGCCTTGAAGACGAAGACAGTCGGCTTGCTGAGAAGGGCAAGCAAACGAAGCAACTCAAGCAATACAAGCGTTTAACCGCAGAGCTGGTTCCCCAACTTCAGAGTGGGATTGTGGGTGCGAAAACAAACAGTTTGCTCGGACCATCTTTTGAGAAACTGGAAGCGGCCACTTGAGGTCCACTTCGGAGTTCCATCTGCAAGGCCAGATGACATCATCGCCTAACCCACCATAGTTTCCTGCTTTGCGGTGCGCTTCCGATCAGACGAGAAGTCCACTTGTCATCTAGAGTGTCCTGCCAACGCCTCCGTTAGCCTGATGCTACTTCTTCGCGCCTTCGAAGCAAATTTTCTCCAAGCAAATTACAGTGCTCACCAGTCCCCCAGGTCACAGTAGCCGAGGTCCACCCGCTTGGGAAAGACGACCTGGTTGAGGACGGGGTACCCGTGCAGCGGGACGATCAGGTTCTCGTCCTCCGTGTGCAGCTTGATGACGTCATGGTAGTATTGCCATTCTTGCGGCCGAAACTCCACCGTGAGCTCCTCCGCCATGCCCGGGGCGAGCAGGCCCTGCAAAACAAAACGGGGTTAAGAAGTGAAGAACAAAGCGCGACGCCATGGGAGTGTTGCTCAACGGGAGGGATTGGGGCTTCTGAAAACGGGGGGAATGATATGCAGAGTTGTCGAGCTCTGGGGAAGAGGAGCGCCCCCTCCCGTTGTCATCTCCCGAACAATATTTACCCTGTCCTTGAGGAAGGGGAGCTGCCTTGCTGTCCTAGTTTTTGACGACTCCCTTGATTGCAATCACGGGCGCATTTGTGAGCTGATTATGTCGGGAGACGGCCCCATCTTCAACGAGCGGTCTCTGAAGTATTTAACTTTTTTTGTCATTGGGGAGATAACTGTGGCGAATTTACGACTTGAGGACAGAAGTACAACTTGCCCGTTGTGCTTGTTGTCCAATTTCCAACGTGTTTGTAAACAAAAGGGATCGAACGCATGGGTACACCACCTTTCCTATGCGCTCTTTCAGTCGCCCCTGATCAAACATGGGACATCAATGTTTCTTCGGGAGTCAAAAAAGCCAACTCTCTCATCGTCGCCTCAACGGCCGAATCACCCAACAACCAGTCATCTCAACTAGTTGCCTTCTTACGGAAGAGAAAGTACATGCGCTCACCTTTTTGGTGAAGTGCACGGAAAAGAAGGGTGTGGCGGGGGGGATGACTGTGACGCGCCGGCTGCACCCCGAGCAGTTGATGATGCGCACCACCTGGCGGTGTGTCTGGCCCACGACATAGCCCCCGAAATGGACAATGGGGGGGCTGACCTCAAAGAATGTGTTGCTGCCAACTTTGCTGTAGACACCTGAAGAAATGGAGGGGCTCTGGTTTGAAACGTGGGGGAAGTGCATATGGAGAAAGGAAGTGACGAGACGAGGCTTCCAGATACTCAAAGCTGCATTGGATGTTTGCTTGACCGTGAGCGCGATGTCAGCTGGGGGCATCCCATGTCTAGAGCGGCTTGTGAAAAGAGCACCACAAAAAAGATTGAATGTGTAACCCAGCAGTTTATGGTGGTGAATCTGCATATGGAGAGAAGCTGCCTTCCCCCTCTGGTAACCTGCAAACATCCGAGACCGGAACATGAGTCGGCCAGCTGGGCTTTCAAGAAACCAGTTCCTGCAAGCTAGCACGAGTTAAAGATACACTTACGGTTGTTGGTCAGGGTGTTGACCACCTTCTTTGGCTCCGCTACGAAGTCGGAGAGCAGCTCCTCCATTGGCCCATGCCACTTCCCAGTCTGCGGCCCCAGAGGCCTAGTCACAGCTGCAGTCATGTCGCCAGCTGGCACCAGATTCAGATTACTCAATGCGTCATGAAGAAAGGAGCGGGCTTAGCTCAGCACGTTCAAATCTCCCCCTGGGCAAGCAGACTCGGCCCACTTTACAGAATCGCAGAGCAACTTGTCAGAATGTGGAAGGGGCCAGTTCAAAGATATAGAGCTAAGGATACAAGGATCCATTCTCTGCCAAAACGCCTAGCTGTCCAAGCGGTCCTAGAAAGGAGCTAGAAAGAGCACACGTGACTACCAACAGAGAGCCTCCAACATGGTGCATGAGGCGTGAGGCCCAAGCTCATGAAACCCTAATTATCCAGGCGCAAGCTGGCCAGTCAAATTCCGCTCGCGGCAAGCGTTCCGCTCTGAGTGTCTCCGTTTTCACGCCACGGGCGATTTACTCTTGCTCCTCCCTAAAATTGTACCGCCACGAAGTCTTATAAGGAAGGAACGAGGCCGGAATTCTCAAGGTGACCGTTGGCTGCCACTTTGGCAGCATTATTGCTGAGCACTGCACAGCACCCTGCAGGGCTTGGAGGGGCGCCTGGTGGCACGAGCATCATGCAGTACCTCTGGAAAAGCTAGCTCTCAAGTTCGTAATGTTGTTCAGGGCAAGAAATTAGGAAAATGCGGCTCTTGTGCCCTATGACTCTGAGCTGAGAATGCATTGCTAAGAATTGGAAAGAAGTGTTTTCCGCTTTTGTTCAGCAGAATGTTGTACCCAACGTGCCTTCCAGACTTTGTCCCGATAAGTCCACAGGGAGGCCCCTCTCGGGTTGAGGGAGCTTGAGCTCCTCCTTCCTTTGATCAACCTGGCTGTGCTTGACAATCAGAAGGCCCAATGCCCCCTTCCTGAGGTCCCCACAGCAGCTTCCTCATCAGCAACAAGACAATGTGCATGCGTCAAATCGTTACTTCTAACGTGACACTGATGATACAGTCAGTGCTGCAAGGAACTACTTAGCTGGGCTGACTGCAGAAGACACTGAACGCGTGTGTGTTCTTTGGGTAATTGTGGTTTTAAAGCCTGCATTGCATCTGGGCCAGCTCGGAGATGGATCAAGAAGCCAGATGGCGGGCGGGCTGGAGGCCCCATGAGGAGTTTGTGGTAAGCTGATCGAACAAACTGGTGTAAGAAAATCTGGAAACCGCCATGGTGTGACAGTTGAATTGCCCCACAGCTGGTCTTTGATCAGGCAAATGTGGAGACAAGCGCCATTGAACATACATGACAGGACTGCAAACATTTACCAGCCTGAAATGCCAATGAGACTGAAAGGCAATTATACTGGAAAATGTTGCTCTTCCACAGTGTCCCCCCTTGGACGGAGCACAAATTTCAAGCCACACACCCCTTTCACCATAAAGTCTGGATTATCTGCAGCTTGTACTGCTCATCTTGATAACAAAGTTGTCTACGTTTCGTTTCAGGTCTTAAATGGTCCCCTCACCTGTCTGCAGAACATTCCCCTGAGGACTGACTGGCTGAGTGAGCTGCGGCGGCAGCATCCTTGGAAGGGGGATGGGCTTGTGGTTGTCAGCATGTTTGATGGAATGGGGGGCTGCTGGCAGGCCCTGAAAGCCCTCGGCATCCCCGTGAAGAAAGGCTACAGCTGCGAGATCGTAAGCCCCCACTGGCTCTGTTGCTTTGTTTCCTCTTGTTATCCTTACCCAACAGATATTGGCTATGTTGAAATCCTCCTATGGGAAGCTCCAAGTGTCTGGTGTGTGAGCCCTGGCTAATGGGAGTTGTGGGCCTGGCTAATGGGAGTTGTGCCCAAACCTGACGTCTTTCGGTGGAACTGGGCGACAGAAGATGGTAAAAGGCCAAACAACTGCTTTTGATTAGACACACCCAAGAATGTGGCCAGCCGCAAGTATAGGAAGACCAGCCTGTAATTGTGCAACGAGCTTTGTCATTACACTTGTGCTTTGATCCTTAGCCTTCATTTCCCTCCCTTCCCCCCCTTCTCAAATGCAGAAAGAGTTCGCCAACGCAGTGGTCAAAGAGCGCTTCCCCGATGTCATCCATCTTGGCAGCGTGACTGCGGTAACTCAAGACATGATCCCCGAACCGGTGGACTTGATTGTTGCTGGCTTCCCGTGCCAAGATCTCAGCAGCATGGGCAACCAGAGAGGGTATGCTCAATGACTTTTCTCTTGATCAGCTCTTATTGCTGGCTTCTGCCAGACACAAAAGACAAAGGAGGGGAAAAATAATGGAAAGACTGTTCTTCTTGTCCCCCAGTCTGCATCTTTGAATGGTTATAGATTACCTGCGACGCGCCATGCCGTTTTCTGCTGTGCCAACTGCTCCTATGCTACCTTCAAGGCCACATGTTTATGCCAACTTCTCGGATAAGCATCATGGTTTGGGGGAAAGGCCAACGAACCAATCTCTTTCCCACATTCTCTCCCTTCATCTGACCGTTCTTGTGCGGCTTCAAGAAACGCATTCAATAAACAATGGTGTGCATGTCTAGAAATGAACGTATTTCTTCTGTGCGCAGGTTGCATGGGGCTCGCAGCGGGCTGTTCTTCCACATCCCGCGCTTCATCTCCATGTTTAAGGCCAAGTGGTGAGCTTCTCTTACAAGTTTTGAAAAAACTTGTAAGAATGTAAAGTTTTAACAGATACTAGCCCAAAACCTGAAGCAAGGGCCTCGGGAGCCTGGCCCGCTACCAGTCTTGATCCCCTGAGTGCCTCCTCCGGATCAGCTGACGTCATCAACAAAATTTGGATTTGGCAGAGCTTCACATCGTCTTGCGACAGCTACAGGTCTTAAAAGTCCCGAAGGCTCTTTCTTTAACCAGGAAGCAAGGACCTTTCCAGAGACATAGTGTAAACTGATAGCTCTCATGCTTTGGGACCCAATACCGTCTCACAGATAATTTGCCACAGGCCGGACTTTGTCTTGTCTAATCAGCTCAAATCAACCTTCCGCCATTCTTCTTGCCAGGTTTCTTGTAGAAAACGTCAAGTGCCGGTGGCAAGACCAGGCAGAAATCACCAAGTACCTGCTCAACGTGCTGCCTCTGGAGCTGGACGCGGAAGAGCTGTCCCCGCAATCGCGCGTACGCAACTACTGGACCAACCTGCCGCTGCCACCAAACCTGCCGGGCATCCGGGACGCGCCCGAGACGTCAGTGCAGCATTTCCTCGAGAATGCGATTGCGCCATTCGTCAAGACAGGAGTGAGTGGCTATGTCTTGAAGCGCCTGGTACCTCTGCGCATCAGTTGCTTGAAGCATTCAGTGATATGCCAATGGTTACCTATCCTTGATGTCGACTGCTTTGGAGGCTTGCATCCAGTAATAGTCCTAGGTATGGTTGCCTGCCTTTAAGTGAGAGGAGTGTTGCATCCTGGAACGACAACGGCTGGATCATGAGTCGGATTTCCGAAACTTGCCAAGAAATTCCTCAGCTGACATGCTTCGAACGCTAGCCGTCTTCATCTCTCGTATCAAAGGAAACCGTTCAATCATGACCTAAGTTCGCCTGCTTCGGACGTCGCTTATCTTCTCTTCTGATGGACTCACAATTGTCTCCCTTTACTTTCTCCAGACGGTCATGACAACCAACAACGACGCCAACACGAGCAACTGCGCTCTGAAGAGCATCTACGACCTGGCATCCGGGGGCGCTCGCTACCTGGAAGTAGAGGAGATTGAAGCCATGATGGGCTACTCCGCCGGCTACTCAAAAATCCCGTACAACAAGCACGGCTGCATACTCCCGTTCTCCAGCTCGAAGAAGCAGTCCGGGCGCCGGCGTTGCTCGCAGGGGGGTGCCAGCGAGGGGGCGAACGGGGGGGGTGCGGAGGGGCCGCCTCAGAAACGGCTAAAGTTTGAGGAGGGGGGGGCGAGCGGCACAGAGGCGGGGGCGGAAAAGGAGGCAGAATGCGACGGGGCGCAGGTGGGCAAAGAAGAACCGACAGGGGACGAACTAGGGAAGGGAATAATCGCGTTGAGCAGCGACGAGGACGATGTCGTGTTCCAAGGGGAGGCGGCTGCGGTTGAGGAAGGGGAAGACCTACCGGGGGGACATTCCGCAGAGGGGGATGTGGGGGCGAACGAACCCCCCGGAAAAAGTGCCCTCCCGCTCACTTGGCTCGGGATGGGGGCGCAAGGGGGCCCTGACGAGGCCGGGAGTTCGGGTCTGAGCAACGAGGAGAAGAGTGTGGGGGGTGGAGAGAAGTCACCCGGATATGGGCTGAGGGCGCGCAAGCCCGTCAACTATGCTGCGGAACATGTCGAGATCGATGACGTCAGCCCGGGACGAAGGCCGACGCCAAAGAGACGGTAGGTTTCTTCGTTGAAAGTTTCTACAACCTGCTGTCTCGACCCTCTCGACAATCGTTCCAACCAAGAACCGAACGTTGTGCAGGTTGCAATGCAAATCTGTCTGGTCCTGCTTGGATTCTGCCCAGCCTTGCAGAGTCAGCCGACTCTCAGAAAGGTTCCGCACCTTTCGTCCCTTGCCACACGAAACGGTGTGGTCTGGAAATCTCCGGGTTCTTTGCACGCTCTAACTTGGTTGATGGCCATTCGCAGGTCCCAAAGCACTCCCCGCCGCAAGTTGCTTTCTCCTGGCTCAAGTGGGGAGGCCCTGTTTGCCACCAAGGATCTCCGCTGGGAGCTGCTGGGGAACAGCTTTGTGGTGAGCGTGCCTACAACAGGGCCCTTTATGTTTCACTCCTTTCTGCTTGGAATTGCCGACTGGGAGCCCTGGCAATTGACCTATGTCAGCGTCGATCGTCTGCTGCTAGATCTACTTGTAGAGTATATGTGAGCCGTTGCTAAAGCACAGTCCTCCTTTGTCGTGAGTTCATAGGCAGTTTTGCAATCGTCCTTCGTCTCCAGTGCTGCAATTCATCTAATACCGCCAATGAGGCGTTGTACATACTCACTTGCATCAGGTTTTCCAGTGTCCAGTCATTGAGGTTCTCCAGGAGCTGACAATCCGCTTCTAAAACGAATCGTGAAACGAGCCAAACGCGACTGTTTGCAGGTCCCGTGCATTGCATACATGCTGTCGCAGCTCCTGAGCCCCCAGCTGCGCGCGCGGGCCCAGCGCATCATGGCAATCCCAACGCCGGACGTAAAGGACGCGTGCCTCTTCAAGGAAGGCGAGGTGAGGGCCGAGGACCCTTTCTTTGCAACACCTGTCAGTATCCCGTTGATAAGTAGTCCCCTTATTCCAACCTGCTGCCTCTGACTACTGCTCGTTTCGGGTGCCCTGAAGCTCGTTGCCTGCCTATGTCGCTAGTGTTGCCTCCACTTTTCAATAATTTTGCCGGCCCCCGAGCGGACACCGCAGGAGGTTTCCCATGCTTAGTTGAAGGGGCGGTTGTAGAAGGACCCCGTCCTACTTTCCAACCGCAGAACGCACGGTTTTTGAAGTCGGTGCAACTGTCCACGGCTGACCGGAAGACGCTCTGTTAACCATCTGTTAAGCATCTGCTCGTCCCGCAGGTATGGGCGCTTTACAACGAGGACATGGCGCCGAACTGGTACGCATGCGTGACCCACGTCGACGTTACCCAGCCTGACTGGGACGGCCGCAAGAAGCTCCCCACCCAGTTCGGCGTGCACTAGTGAGCGCACAATCTTTGTTAAGCGAGTTGACCAGTTGCTTTTTATGATGATGTGTTCTTCGTCCGCTTGCCAGTGTGCTTGAGTAAGCGTGCAGTTGCACTCGGTGAGCTGAACTGTCTGGTGTGAACCGCTGGGCCGTTTGATGGATGTGCCGTGCCCATAAAAGGCCACTGCTTCGAGACCTATTTCAAAGGAAAGGTGATTGTTGGTTCTTAAAGACGGAGAAGGTAGCCTGGTGTGTTTCTCCAGTTGATTAGATAACCGAGGCAGCATAAGGGCCACCTTTATGGTCGCCTAAGCGGACCTGTCTTTTTGCTGCTTCCGTGACTCACTTCGGTCACAGCTTACCAGCTGTCAGGCTCTATGGAACTGAAGTACGGCTCTACTCGACACACACTGTCTTACGACCGGCTGGCGTGGTTCGCAATCGTTCGCAATGTTGAAACTTGCGCGAACTTCGCTTGATCAATCACCAAAGGTGGCCGTTCCGAATCAACTCTCCGATTAAGACTCTCGTCAGATGCGGTCTTTGAGCCGGGGCTTGCTTCCATCTCAGATCCCTGGTTTCTGATCCGACTTTCTGTCTTCGGCCTCCCGAGTTCACTGAAGCACTTGATTTACTGGGAGCTTCATTAACATGACGTGAAGCGTAGGAGATTCTTACGCCCAGTTCTCACCCGGCTCCGACTCAGTCCACTTGGCGCCTTTTCGCAGCCGCTTCTATGAGTATCTCCCCAGCAGCGAGAACCCGAAGTCCCCCATACAAGGGGTGGGCATTCTGAAGCTGGCATGCGAGGATTACACCAGCGTCGACAAGGCCTTTTCACACCGGGTGAATCCTGCGCACCTGGAGGGGGGGCGCATCCTGGTGTACCCGCGGGGGGGGGAAGTGTGGGTGGTCAAGGACAGGCTGAGGAAGTTTGGGAGGTTCAAGCTGCACGTGGTGAGCGCATTGCTCCGGCTCGAAACTCTGCTGACCGGCAGAATGGATGTGGGTTGACATAAAATCTTCATGTCAGAGTTTTTGACGTTCGCTTACGCTGAAGTCCATTTTGCCACTGCGAGCAGTTGACTTTATGCTCGAGTTGCAGAGTGGAGGATGGTATCAAAAGGCTTGGAACAGGGTTTGATGTCTCGACTGTGCTCCGTACAGACCGGCTGACGTCAGAGGAGTACTCGGAGCTGACACATGCTTCTTTCCGATGCTCTCGTCAGTTTTCCTTTCCACTCACCACCCAGTAGTTCGTTCCAAATCGTGCCAGGAGTGCTCATTCATGGGCATGTCCCTCTTGCACTCCCTTATCCTGCATTGGAGAAGCCAAGCACGTAATTTCGACCAGCCCCTCCAACAAACCGCGTTTCGTGGCGTATCTTTGCCCCCTTTTGATGTAGTCACAGACTGCTCGTGTCTTCAGGATTCGCCGTACCCAACCTCTGTTTTCAGGACTACAGCTTTCTGAAGACTTCGCCTCTGGCTCCGGACTGTAATTCATATTTCATAGACCACATGACATTCACCGAGCAGCAAAAATTGGTGGACTGGTCTTTGCATGTATTGAGTTTCAACACTGTGTGTTCCTCGTGCTTGCAGTACATTGTGAAGAGCACGGCCGACCCTTTGACGGGCCAGTTTGAGTGCACCATCAGGATCCTCGTATCGCAGCCCAGGTCCACGTCAAAGACGCCCATCTACAGGTAAGCGGGCAGAGCCAGTAGCCTTCTCTGAATAAAATTGGTGATCTTTCTGCGAGGATAGATGCTTGTCAAAAGTAATTAGTGAATTGGCAGAATGAGAAAACGCATAAGAGACAATACCTGCGCCGCCACGGGCGTACTCCAGATTGTAAAAGGAACAGTCCGCTAGGAGTATTTCGAGGAGAAGCGCTGCAAGAGGCGCATGGTGTCTCTCAGAGCAGCTTTTAGAAGCCTCATTCAATTACGGTCTGAAAGCTCGATCGTACCAGGGAAGGCTTGGGGCGCTGCTCCTGAGTTACAGAATGCAGCAAAATGTTTCAATCCAAGTATACAGAGCGCTCTTTTCTGGAAACTATGCCGGCTTTGACTGCGAACTGCCTTCATTAAGAGTCACTGGTGTACCTTCCAGTACTCTTCGTCACAGCCCACCTTCCCAGTACTCTTCGTCACAGCCCCCAATGCGATCCGGTAACAATTTGGGAGGTTTTGAAAGGGTCCTAAGTGTGACCGTCCGCGCGCAGGATGGCGGGCGGGGAGCGCGTCCTGAGCGGCGGCCGCACCGTGTTTTCGTACCAGGTGCCGTACTTTTTCAAGAACGAGGCGGGGCTGTTTTACGTGGAGCCGCAGTACGACCAGACGGTGGCCATGAGGCGGCGGCGCCTCCTCGAGTGGGACGACGACGAGGATGACGTGGCAGCCGAGGAGGAGGAACTAGGGCGGGGGGAAGAGGTGCTGGAGCCGGAGGCGGAGGTGAGGGACGACTCGGCCTTCAAAAAATGACAATGCGCACGCAGGTGCATTTGGAGTTTGATGTCAGAGAGCTACGGAAACAGTCGCCGGATCATCTGTGCAGTCAAAATTGAATCGGACCGCACTGCAATGGGTTCTGCAAGAGCATGTGGTCACACCGAGCCAGATCTGGAGAAGAAGAGGTGGGCCTTCTGGAACGTAGGTAACGGCAGCTGAGGTTCCTCTCTAGTGCCAGCATAGATAGAGCTTCCGGTGAATAGTCGCTGCCTGCGTAACGTCGTTCCGATCTGGTCACAGGCAGGCTCCATTCATTGTGGACACCGTTCATCTATCTGCATCCCGCTTCAAAGAATGCTTTTCCTATTGCTGCAGTATCCGGCAAGCTTCCCGGAGACCGAGTCAGCGCAGAAGCTCCCAACACTCGCCGAGTATGCACCCACCTCGCAAGCGCTTCAACTTGTTGCCCCTGACGCAAAACTCCCACAACTGAACGCCTTGGAGGACCAGAACGGCGGACCTGCGCAAAGTTCGGCACAGGCCCCTGCTATCGAACAGGCCCTGGCAAGTCGAAAGGGTAAGGAGAAGATTGACGTCAGCGATAGCAAGGCGCAGGCTGATGACGTGGCAGGCGTTCTACCGTCCGAGGGGCGTGGCCTCCTGGAAGAACGAACCGTTTTGAAATGCCGCGACATCCACGTGCTTATGGATCTGCTCCCACGACTTTGACTCCCTCTGATTTGAACAACGTACTGCTCGGGGGTCTCTGCGGTCGTTGATGGCAAGCCATATTTAACATGAGCAGACGATGACTGACTAGAAGCTAGAGCGATCAAGAATGCAGATTGCTAGACGTTAGCCCACCTTAGATGTGACAGTAGAAGATCCGGCCACGTGCAATGAGTTTGGGAAAGCAGTGAGGTCTAGAATTGTTCTTTGACTCCAATCACAACCGACTTACGGCAAACATGAAGATGACAGATGACGGACCTTTATTTCAGGTTTAGCTTGAGCTGTCTCAGTCTATTCGATGCCGAGATCAAAAAAGTTGTATGATTCAGATGTCTGATCATGAGACATGTTTGAGTTACCTATACGATTAACGTGGTGCAAAATCTGACGGGTAAAAAATTCAAAACCTGAAAACCTCTAGCTAGCTAGGCCACTAGCTGCATCGAAGATACACACGACCACATGCAGTATGTACCAGCTACCAGCCATACGGGCACAATACTAGTGCACTAAAGATTCGTTGTCACCGTCAAGACATCATTGCTTACATGTGCCGCGCGGAATTTGCAATCATCAGTCTTCAGATACTGGTGTATATAGCGGGGCCCCAAAACAACCATATGATAATTTTCAGTATTGCTTTGCCTACGAAGCTGTTGGGTGGCATGCCTAGCAATGACCCAAGGCCCGGGGCGCCCGCTCTGACAGTCCATTGAAGCCTTTTAACCATAACAATAAACAACTTGTATACTGGCAATGCTTTGCCCCTAGCTCTGATAATGCAATTTGTGATCGTCCACCAGCTTTAACGGCTTGGATGCATTCTTGTCGAAGCCGGCCGAATCGGACTTGAGCCACAATCTGGCCCATCGTGGCCGTCGAAACAGGATCCTTTTTAGGCACGAAAGCACTGCACCATCTCACGCGGAGATCGGATACCGCGGCGAGTTGGTTATGATCGTTTGACTTCGGAGGTTGCCCAAAGTACGGTTGGGGAACTCCTCGAAGGGCGGCAGAATGTGCACATTTTTGCCATATGCCGCGCTCTCGGGAACGCAGAGACATATGTCGACATGCCACGCGGCCCTGCTCAAGAGAGCAGGCTTCTTTTTGGGCACCGCCCTGCTTGGGGCAGAGCCAGTAGGGCCCAGTACCCCATCTTCAGAGACCAGACACGGTGCTCAAAGTGCTGATTTAAAAGGTGAACCGAATCCCCAGTTGCAGCATCCCATTCCTCGAGGCACAGCAAAACCACAAGCTTCTACCTTGCAACTCCAAGCTGCCACTCCACTGCGTCTACTTGCGACAGACTCGCTTCCATCTCATCACCACTGGCTCATCACCAGCAAGTACTCCCATTCTTCTTCCGTTGACAACCATCCCCAAGGCTTCACGCCCAGAGTTCAACGAAGAGCTTTGCGCTTCTGACAGTCCCTGATCCTGTACTGCTGTCAATTGGCTTTTGACTCGCGCATTCAAGGCTCAAAGGTTCTCAGGTAAATCCAGTCCTCTGCTTCATTTGTGACCTTTTTTGAGCCTGCTTAGCTTGCTCTTACTCGTTTGATACACTATCGACCCTGTCCTTGATGGCAGCAGTGACTTTGGATGCATCCCATAGCCAGAAGGACTTCAAACTGTGCTTACTTGATTACAACTTGCCAGCTTTTCTGCTTTGATTGCTAGTTTGATAGTCTGGACAGAACAACTTTGGTTCCTGGAATGATGATTCAGCCCCAGGAAGACTGGACCTGTAATCAGTGCGCCACAATACTCAGAAGCGAGGGGAAAGTATTTGAGATTCAAAAGCAACTGAAAGAGACTTGGGCATAGCTTTCAAGGTTGTATATCAGAGGGATCTCGCTTATACAGTACCGCAGGAAGTGGAGCGACCCTGATGCTGGTCCAAACAATGTCTGGATGCGCAGATGCAAGGTTTCTGGGACTGAGTGTCATGAGAATATCAGACAAGCAGAAGAGTATAGACAGATTCAAAGGTTGCAGCAAGGCGAGGACGTGCTCCATCCAATCTTTCTTCAATCTCAGCTGGAAAGAGTCTGCTCCGTATCCCTAAGCATTCATCAGCAACTTTATATGGTCAAGCCCCTGGATGAAGGTCTAAGCCTGCTCTTTTCTCCTGCAGGCATCAAGATGAGTACCCGCACAGTCGCTGTCCTCCTCGTGGCGGTCTGCCTCCCCTTCCTAGTTGCGGGGCAAGCCCCCGCTCCCGCTCCCGCTAAGCCTGCTGGTCCGGGCGGCCGCCCTCATGGCACCATGAACGGGAGCCTCCCCCTGAATGGGACGCTCCCAGACCGTGAAAGCTACTTCAATGGAACGCTGCCGTTCAACGGAACCTTCAACGGGACGATGCCTCCTTTCAGAAACGGCAGTGAGCCTGGTGAGTGACTGCAGATTGTCAAGGATGAATGACTGGGGCTCTCTGGGTTGCACAATGCTAGGATGCGTGGTCACATGCTTTTGAGCTTCTCAGCTTGGAATCTCTGAAGGTCCTGCTTGATGTAGAGTTTCGAGTACAAGTCTGCTTGGCTTTGATCCTGGCACTTTGAGCTTCGTCATCCGTCGAAGGTGCCTCTCCAGAATGACCTGGCCTTCCAGTCACCCCCTTGAATTAAATTTTTAAGAGAAATTGCAAGGTCCGTAGCCTCCTTCTAAACTCTTCTTTGTTATGCACTAACCGACTCCTCTTTCTCTACTTCCCAGGTATGGGACGCAGAGGAGGTCCCGGAAGCCCCATGGGTGCGCCGTTTGGCGCCCCCCGCGGGGCACCCCCCAACATGACCAACTTCAACTTCACCGGTCTTAATGGGACCTTCCCCTGCAGGCCCCGCGGCGGGCCTCGCAACAACCAGACCGCCACCCCGACCACCACCCCGACCCCCACACCGACTTCAACCGCATAAGGTACGGGAAAGGCTCATACGTGCACGTTCTGTACTATGTGCAGAATTGTTGGGTTTATGGCGGTGCTGTCTCAATCGAGCGAGTCATGCAACTGGTTATGCACGAAACGTGGTCGAGTTTCGTTCAAGAGTCCTGAAAGCACACTGAGCAAATCACGACGTATTGCGTGAATGTCAAAGTGACGGCTCTTTCCTCAGGTGCCCGTCTTAGTGTTTGGAGCTCTGCCGAGTGCAGAAGAACTTAGGCTAGCGTCAGAGTTGAATCCAGCAATTTGTTGAAAGCTGTGGGGAACCGGGGCGTTGTAACGAGCTCCTGCTCCTGTGCCGTTGATACCAGCTTGGCGTGCTTGATCGTTGAGAATACCAGACGAATGAGCTCAGATTGACAAGCGTATCATCAGCGAATACTCACAGATTTTCTCGTGACACGCAGGCGGCCAAGCACGGTGGACTCTAACGTTTCACGGAGCGGACATCACAGCGTGTAAAAGCGATCCTGCTAAGACTCGCGTTTACCCATTGTGATCAGGCTGCTGAGACTCGTTGTCGGTTAGCATTTAGCAGTAGGTGCATTTCAACGAGGAGCTAAGCGTGCAAAACGCCTTGCCTTAACGACTCAAGTGTTACGTTTTCGAAAACCATTCACTTGCATCCAGCTTATAAAGCTGAGTCGACTTTACCGTTGCTTGTGTAGGCTAAAGTCTATCTCAACACTTGAAGATGATCCTGGAGAATTTTGATCTGCAGAGTTTGATAAAAGACCCGGCCAGTGTGGAGCTTTATTTTGTTGATTGAGTGAAGCAAGGCCTCAAGGCTGGCTTAACGTTCCGAGACCTTTGCTTTCATTACGAACTTCTTAAGCGATCGTTGCAGATATATTATATCTGCAGCCCATGCGCAGTCCTCAGTTTAACTGCCAGCAATCAACGAGAGCGGCGCCTTTGATCGACGCGAATCGGCTGTCACTCCGCTTGAATACATCAGTACGTAGATCAGCTCAGTTCGACAAGTCAGTCATGCAGGCCTGCCGGCATGCATTTCTGTCAGTATCGTACTGGTCATCAACTTTAAAGTCTGGCGCCGGCAGTGAGATAAAGAAAAAAACCGGCATATGCATATGATCTCATGCAGAGGTTTTCACCTTGCCATGTAAGTAAAATAACGTAGTTTCAATCACAATGTCGGTACTATGGCTGTGCACCAGCCGGTGCAGCTGCAAACTTGGTCAAACGGTGCTGCGCAAACGGTGCTGCAAACGGTGGCGGCTCATGCAACTTTATCACTCATTGCTAGCAGCAATCCGCAATGCATCTAGGGGTAGCGGCCAACATCCGGATCCATATGTCAACGTACCAGAGACCATTTCACGCATGCGCACTGCCAGACGGTGGCTTATTGAAAGATCGAGAGTTAAATTCCACACTATAGTCGGACGCGGCGCATGGAGTCACCATATTCAGCACAGTTTAGCTGCGCCATGTTCCAACTTACATATCGTATATTATTGCATATGGATTCGACGTGGCCCGGCTAGCTCGATCTGGCTCCCTCGTATAATATATAACAGCTACTACGTACTACTAAGGCTACGCGAAGTTGATATGGGGTTTCCGGTCTGCGACCGACCCGGATTTTAGATTTTTTTGAAAAACCGACATAAAATATTCTTAAATTTGCCTCTCAGGGCCTTCAATTTATGTATTTTACTTTGGTTTTATGGGCCAGTTTTGGTCATTATTTGGAGAATGTGATAGATTACTTCTGACAAACATGCCCAAAATTTTTCAAATATCAGTGACGAACAGCTAAAAGCACGCGAATCACGATAACTGAGCCTATTGTCGTAAATAAAACGCGGCGACTTTTTGCCGAGCGCGACGGGTGGAGCCCGGTGAACCTGGACACCCCGGAAAACCACTTGTTTTCTGACCATAATCCCGGAATTTTGAGTCTTGACCACAGCTACGAAAAGCTTGCAACCCTAATATCCTTGAAACCCTAAAACTTTGAAAACGCACTGGATTTCTCAGTTCAAACCCCGAAATCTGCCAAATGTCGACCCCAAAACCCGGATTTTTGGCCTCAACAAGGAATACTTTTTTAAGAATAGGTTTGAATCTTGTACAAACCACTCAAATGAAGCTACGTATTGTACTGCACTAGGAAGACCACCGGAACGCTGAGACCACTAGCAGACCAAACTGCGCACCACCGCTAGCGCTCACTTCCGTATGGCTCAGAGTTATACTAACCCACAATTAACCGTCAGCGTAACTCAACGTAGAGCTACAGACAAGCTAACTATCGATTAGCAGGCAGCGGAATGTAGCGTGGGGCCCATGCAAAGCTAACAGGACAAGTGCGATATTACCGAGAAATATCGCACGAGGGAGTGTCCCATACCACTCCAGCTAGCAGTCATGTGAAGTAACAATCCGAGACAAACAATTACAACTCGGGTAAGCTCACCACTGGCAGTGTCCCCGTAGAGTGGATTAC